CTCTTCCACATCTCTCCAGTGACATAGTCGCGGCCTAAACAGGGCAGGATACAGTGGCAACTTGAAGCATGTCCAGGACTCTGGCACAACTCTGTGAACAAGTCTTCAAGTCTAAAGGCCCTGACGGCCCAACTCGTTGCAGAAACGCTTGCCCTCCGCATTCAGAATAATGCCGCCCACACCGCGCAAAGCCTCTCATTTGTGGCACACAACTCACACTTCTGAGAATTGATGTGGTATTGAACGGCCTCTGCAGCCAAAAACTTGATCTTGGCGTCCGCATCATCTGGCTTTACAAGGCCAGTCGGGTGGACCTGGACCCATTCAAGGTCAATGCTCTTCGCGCCAATGGCCTCAACCAAACTCGGCTCCATTCAGAACAAAAAGGGAGAGGAAGTCCTGTCCCTTCATAGTTTTCTGACAGCATGTGTCTCTAGTGAATCTATACAGTTGACACAAAAGAAACCTTTGAGATGCTCACCTCACCCATCTTGATGCCGTCTCCAGTGCAGTGCTCGCCATTGGTGGTAGGCAAGTGCAGCAAATCAGGTCTGTATTGTGCCAACAAAGAATTGCTGGTGAAATCGGCACCAAAGCCACCTCAAATAAGCAGTGCAATTCCATCGGTCTTTGAACAAAACGTTTGGGCTCAAAAGGATTTTCATGTTGGTCATGGCTGAAAGGGCATCTTTTCAGGGTTTCGATGCTCTATCCGAGATGCCTGAAGCCAAAATCACAGGTCCAAACTCTTGGAAGTTCTGGCCGCCCTTCTCGTAGACGCAACCGACACAGGTGTTGCCCTCAGTGACCAGCTTGAAAACCTTGGCCTTCGTGATGATTTTGGCCAAGTCTGTTTTCTCAGCCACCTGCCAACACATCGAGCATGAACTTTTCCGGTTGCTTGTGGGCAAACACAGAAGCAGAAAAGTGAATGGTCATGTTTTCATAGCCTTCTCAAGCATCTGGATCAAAGCATAGGTGATCGTCATTCCAGGAAATCGCTCTTTGCCGCGGTGTGTGCGTGGCTGAGAATGTCCACCTAGACGTGCCACCAATGACAGGTCCAAGTTGAATTTCTCCACCAGCCAGTCCTCAAGAAATGGACAGGTCACTGTCACCACAAATCCGCACACATCCTGCAAGTCATTCAAACCAGTTGCTGGTCAGCCAAGTCAAGTGCCATTCTTTCGCTCAATTATGCCAGGAAGCCACATCTTCTGCACTGTTCACACACAGCAACCTTGGAGTAGCAACGTGTGCAAGCAGAAAAATGACTCTACTGCTTGAGGCTCTGCAGCCGGTACAAACCCAGAAGGACCTTTTGCTGACTTGGTGGAAAAAAAGAGCGATTCGACCATGATGCTTCAAGGGGCTTGGCCAACTCGGGCTTCTTGGCTCCACCCTTCAAGGTATCCTGGCGCAGTGTGCTGCAAACACAACAAACTTCAAGAACATCATGAAATCTGGGTGCCTGGGTGAAGATCTCTGCGTTGTCCGGGATTCCTTTCGCCTTCTGGGTCTTTGTGCCTCGAGGCACGCTGAAAGGCTATCTCGCACATGCTTTGATCCATGTCCTACGCTTTCCGCCTGCACCGTTGATTCCAGACGTGGCCTTTGTGCTGTTGCCACCGCAAAAGGATGACTTGTCCTTGCACAAATCAAAAGGACTCTGCGCTGATCCCTGTTTAAACTCTTGGAACATACAAGACACTAAAAATCAAGATATGAAGTACGGAAGGTAAGGACTCTTTAAAGAGCCCGTTCCTTCCTTTATTGATTCATCGTTTCTTGTTCTTACTTTCTTATTCTTAGTCGATTCTAGTCTTTCTAAGGCAAACGCCAAGAGGACCACTCTGCCACCGTTCTCAACCACGGTGTTGGCTGCAGACATGCCTGCAATTGACCAGGGAGATCAACGTCTACAATGCCTTTATGTGCCAACGGAACCCCCAAGAATGTATTCTTCCGATGAAAGCAACAAGCGTACCAGCTCTTGCAGTAGAAATTGAAATGCACAACCAACCAGTTGGAACTGTCCAGTACCAACGTATGGTACCAATGGTGCAATTGCCAAGCAAGCTTAAGCGAGTCTTGGGCTGGTTGTTGCATTCTTGAGGCTCTCTTACACCTCATCTGTTAGGCAGATGAACAACATGACCAGCCTCCAAGACCACCACCCACGACAATGGCTTGGTTTGTTGGAAAGGACGCAGCCATGGTGCTCTTCGACAAAACCTTGGCAATCAATCACCAGAGGTCAACCTCACGCATACAAAAAACACAAAATGAACAAGAGTGTTTGGGTTCCTTTAAGAAGGACCCTTTTAAGAGACCCTTATTCTAGAGACCCAAACATCTTTTGTCATCTTGTCTTCTTTGATTAAGCTCCTAGTAGCGGGATTGCTCCTACTAGTACGGCCAGGAGCCCCTAGTAGCGTCCTTGCTCCTAGTAGTGATGCCCTTTGTTCCTAGTAGCAAGGAAATCCTGCGTGCTTTGCCACTCTGAACCGCTGTGCTTTGAGGATCCCACTGGACCCCTGCGGGTACAGATCACCTTCCTCGCTCGGTGCGGCGACCGGTCTCCTCACCCTTCAAAAAAAGGACTGCGGCGGGCAGGCAGATCGGCGGTTTTGTGCTCAAAGAAACGGCCACAAAAAGCTGCAAGAACAGAACCGAGGCACCCATCGCCTAGATCCTTTCGTGTGGGAAAGGCACTGCTGTGTGGTGGACAAGTATGCCATTGACCGAGAAGGAAACAGCAGAAAACTGGGTTTTGTGTAAATGAAAAAGTGGGCACTGAAGACTGATCACACGTCGACACGCACTGTCGCCCACTTTGTCTCATGACAACACGAGAAGTGAGTGTTGGGCTGTAGTGACTACTGACTCACCGTAAGAAAAACGTCTATGGATTGCAGGCAGCTAGTCCAGTCGGCAAAATGGCATTGCCAGGATCAGCTGTAATTGTTGGAAATCTATGCAGAGAGCGAACTTGGAAAAGCTCTGCTTGAAAGGCAGCTCTCAGTAAGTCAGGATCTGACCCAATGTCCCAAAGGGCTCCTGCAAAATTCAAGAACTGGGACACTGTGTTCCAGTTGTTATACAACAGTTGCACCAATCAAAGTAGTGCTATTCTCACCAAATTGAATGAAACAAGGTACTATCAAAACGGCAGCTTTCACCTCCCAAATTCAAAGGTGTGCTACTCACAGGCATCGACCCAAACAATGAAAGAAAAATATCAATTGTCACCTACATGGAATTGGAATTTGCTAACAGCAGATGCATTCGATCATTTGCAGGCTGGCCTTGGGTGCTTCAGGGTCCAGTTCTAGCCACGGCTTGGTATCCTTGAGACAAGGCTAACTCATGCAAAACCGATTGCTGCTCAAAGCAACAGCCTTGCCAACCTCTCTCACTTGCCCTCAACAGTAAAGCAACAAGCCAAGCTGCAAAGCATGAAAACCAATCTGTCTTCCAGCTACTGTTCAATTCTTCCGGGGGTCTGGATGCTGTCCTCATAGCCTGAGTTTGTGTTGCATGTAATTCAGCAACATCCAGCAACATAATCCAGAATACTTGCCAAGTTCAAGATCTGAGCATCAGACCGCTGAAGGGCTTCGTCATCATAACGTACACCGGGAAAGAAATGTAAACCAGTCCCATGACGATCATGATGGCGTAACCAATGATCTCTACTCGCCAAATGTGTCCTCTGGGAATGCCCAACACAGGCGTCACTTTCTTCCAGCCCAAGCACGCGTGGACCATGAAGACACCCACGGAGAAAATGTAGAACATGGACCACAGAGGATTCTTGAAGATCTGAAACTCTAGTGCCTGTGGGCATGAGCTAAAATGCAAAAGCAACATGACACTTCCATGATTCCATGATGCTGTCCACTCAGGCTCCAACGTAAATGTCTCGAACACCAACTGGTGTTACGTAGTCAGCATCTGTCCAGAAGAGGTTCAAGCTCAAAATACCCCAGAAGTTGATCAAATAAGGAGGTGGGCGAATGTAGTATGGGCCAAACTGATCTGTGTCACCGAATCGGAATTGGAACAAGTGAATGGTCATGAAAGTCAGGAGCATCAAGCCAGAAATGGCAAGATTCAGCACGTTGATTCCCTGGGTGCTGACCAAGGCAAGCTTCATGTCCCACGTTCGCTTCAAGCCAACAAAGACGTGCAGCAACACTGACAACAGGATGTACTCCTCGACGATGTTGGCAGGGAGCCCGAAACCTGTCCAGTACAGCCTCACATAGAAGTAACCATACCCGTTGAAGTCATCTGGGCCTTATGTCTGAGAGAAAAGCGAGTTTCCCAACTTCATTTCAACTTCTTGACAACATTACAGGCTTGTCAGCGAAGTGTCAGCTGCCATCCTAAGTGTCGGACCTTTGAAGACGTGAAGATTGCCAACAGCATGGATCACAATGAAAAGGATCAGCAAGATTGCACTACGTGTCAGTCCCAGACGGTCATTGGAGATCTTGATGTTCTTTGCAGAAAAAATGGTGGCGCAGACTTCCTCAAATTCTCAGGTACTGTAAGAAGACAGTAGCTGGCTTGGCAACGTTCTTGCCACCCAATGGGAACACAAACTATACACAACTGCTGACAAGCGTCGTACAAGATGGCCAGGACGAGGAACCACGTTGCATTGAAGTAAGACTTGATGTTGAGAATGAACACACCTGCTTGACAATGGAAGCCCAAAACACTTCGCGTGTGGATTAAAAAGACAAGGGAGGGGTGAGCAAAGCAGGGATACATCCAGTCCACAAATGAAAATGGCTGGATTCATCTGTGTTTCATCAAACTTCTTTGCCATGCGTCCAATGTCATCTAGCCAAGTACTGTGATCTCGCCTAGTCATCACCAATTCTTGGAAGTCACAAAAACCTAGCCTGGATTCTCGTCCAAATCCACTCGCCAGTTGGTGGCAGCGCCATCCAAATGTCCCCAAGCATGGTGGTTCGACAAGGCACCGCCCTTGTCCTTCCTGGTCTTTCCACAAGTTGAGTAGCAGTCTGGTGAACCAAAGCACAATATCAATTCAAGAGGGCCACAAGCACAGTCCTTGCTGGAGCACCTCCGGCTTTTGGTGCAGCACCACCAGCCACAGCGACACCGCTGCCGACATTCCCAATCACGGAGTCAGGAGCATACTTCCCAATGACATCAGGGGGATGGATCCTTGGTTTCACTCGACTCAGCACTGATGCGGCAGGTTGCTGAGCACATTAGATTCTGTACCACATCAGCTTACGACAAGGCTCATGTTGAACTCCTCAGTGGCATCCTTTCCGGCAAAGGTC